GTCGGCCAGACAATGCCGGCTGGCGACCCCCAGGGGGAGAGCCTTCTCTGTGGCAGCTCCTGCCCTCTGGAATGACCTACCCCCCGACCTACGTACAGTTGCGGACCTGCGCCTTTTTCGCCGAGCCCTGAAGGCCCATCTATTCCATGCGGCCGGCCTGGCGTAGTTTGATTATGTTTTAGTAGGGGTTTTGTATGGGGTATTTTTAGAGCAGGCCTGTTATTTAATTTGATTTTAGAACAGAAATTTGTATATTTATCGTGGTTTTTATTATCGCCTGTTCACCGCCCTGAGTCCCGTAAGGGAGATAGGGCGGTATATAAATTCAATAAATAAATAAATAATAAATAAATTATAAGCATCAGCACTGTCAAAATTTCACAGGCCAATAAATTTAGATAAAGTCTTTTCATATATTGACTCATGATACGTAATTACATCATATTAAGGAGAACATTTGGTGTAGTGGTTAAGGTGCTGGAGTCAAAATAGGTGACCATGAGTTCTAGTTCTCCCCTAGGCCAGGGGTAGGCAACCTTGGCTCTTTTATGACTCCTGGACTTCAACTCCCAGAATTCCTGAGCCAGCGTGGCTCAGCTTGGAAACCTCTCCCTTTCCCCTCAGCATGGCTGGCTGAGGAATTCTGGGAGTTGAAGTCCACCAGTCATAAAAGAGCCAAGGTTGCCTATCCCTGCCTTAGGCACAGAAGCTAAATGACTGATTTGGGCCATTTATTCTCCCTTGGCTCAACCCATCTCACAAGACTGTTGTAGGGAAAATGGGAAGAAACATTATGTTCATCAACTTGAGTTATATAATATAAAGCTATGATATTGCTCTAATAAATAAAAATAAACAGTGGTAGGTTACAGGAAAATATTAAGAACTCTGTACTATTACTATCTGACACATTTTTAAACATTGGATCTTGTGAAAATCTTGCTTCTTACACGAATCTTCATCATTGAGCCAATTTTAATATTGGACCAACTTCCTATACCAAATATCATATGGGTTCTATCAGGCAGTAATAGAAATTATTTGCCATTTAAAATTGTTGGATCTACTTTGCATTGTTATCCTTGAATATATTAAACATTTCACACATTTAGCAAGCAGTGTAGCTGTCATGATGAAATGGATGATCAAGGAACAGTCTGTAAAAGCTTACAAGATTTCTGTGCAGTACAGGAAAAAAAGTATTGGAAGTTAATGTGTGTTTACAGAACTAATTTCTTCTATTAATAAATTAATTGCTTAAAACACTTTGTTGCTGTTGCCTTGTCATTAATCACAAATTATTCTAATGAATTGTATTTATTTTAAATTCCTACCAGATGCTTTAGCTGTAAGTAACAACACAGGCAAAATGAACAATTCATACAAAAAAATAATAGTTTATGGGATAATTTTTCTTGATTTTCTTTTGATGATTGCTTTTGAAGGACAGAATGATGTGACAAAATATGCCATATTGCTTGAAATAAAAGCTTGCAATATAATAAGAAAAACAGTGATATCGTCAGATAGCACAGAGCAGTAGGAAGTAAGTTTGGGATGGTACAAAACTTGTTGGCATCATAACTGGGACAGTTCCTATGGATTGGAAGAACAGAATTGATAGGGATTGAGGCCTAA